ATTCGGGGGGGAAATGGGGAATTTGGGGGGAAATCTGGGAATTCGGGGGGGAAATGGGGAATTTGGGGGAAAAACACGGGATTGGGGGGGAAAATGGGAATTCCGGGGGGAAAACATCGTTGGGAAGGGTTGGGAATGGTTGGGAATGGTTGGGAACAGTTGGGAATAGTTGGGAATGTTGGGAATAGTTGCAAACTGTCAGGAACGGTGGGGAAGGGTTGGGAAGGGTTGGGAATGGTTGGGAATGGTCAGGAATGGTTGGGAAGGGTTGGGAATGGTTGGGAAGGGTTGGGATCAGCTGGGAATGGTCGGGAATGGTTGGGAATGGTTGGGAACGATTGGGAAGGGTTGGGAATGTTTGAGAATGGTTGGGAATGGTCAAGAACGGTTGGGAATGGTTGGAAATGGTTGGGAATGGTTGGGAATGGTTGGGAATGGTCGGGAATGGTTGGGAATGGTCGGGAATGGTTGGGAAGGGTTGGGAATGGTTGGGAATGTTGGGAATGTTTGGGAATGGTTGGGAATGGTTGGGATCAGCTGGGAATGGTCTGGAACAATTGAGAAGGGTTGGGAGCGGTTGGGAACAGTTGGGAAGGGTCGGGAATGGTTGGGAATGATTGGGAATGGTTAGGAATGGTTGGGAAGGGTCAGGAACGGTTGGGAAACGTTCCTGACTTGGGAACGGTTGGGAATAGTTGGGAATGGTCAGGAATAGTTGGGAATAGTTGGGAATGTTTGGGAATGGTTGGGAATGTTTGGGAATGGTTGGGAATGGTTGGGAATGGTCAGGAATGGTCGGGAATGTTGGGAACGGTTGGGAATGGTTGGGAATGGTTGGGAATGGTTGGGAATGGTCAGGAATGGTCGGGAATGTTGGGAATGGTTGGGAATGGTCAGGAATGGTTGGGAATGTTGGGAATGGTTGGGAATGGTCAGGAATGGTTGGGAATGGTTGGGAATGGTTGGGAATGGTCAGGAACGGTTGGGAATGGTCAGGAACGGTTGGGAATGTTGGGAATGGTTGGGAATGTTGGGAATGGTTGGGAATGTTGGGAATGGTCGGGAATGGTTGGGAATGGTCAGGAATGGTTGGGAATGTTGGGAATGGTTGGGAATGGTTGGGAATGGTCAGGAACGGTTGGGAATGGTCAGGAATGGTTGGGAATGTTGGGAATGGTTGGGAATGTTGGGAATGGTTGGGAATGGTTGGGAATGGTTGGGAATGGTTGGGAATGGTCAGGAACGTTTGGAAATGTTGGGAATGGTTGGGAATGTTGGGAATGGTTGGGAATGGTCAGGAATGGTCGGGAATGGTCGGGAATGTTTGGAAATGTTGGGAATGGTTGGGAATGTTGGGAATGGTTCTCCCCCCATCCCAGGGTTTGTCCCGGGCCATCCCGGCCGGTTCGGGGCCGTGTTCCCGTTTTTCCCGGGAATGCTCCCATCCCACGGGGGGGGGGGGTTTGCTGAGCCCATCCCGGTGTTTCCCCTTTCCCAGGAAGTTGGTGGTGACGAAGGAGAAGGAGAAGAAGGTCGGGCTCTACACCATCTACGTCAACCCCGCCAACACCTCCCACTTCGCCGTCGGCGGCAGAGACCAGTTCGTCAGGTGGGGGCAGATCCCGGGAATTCCCCAGCCTGGGAGACCCAAATCCTGGGAGACCCAAATCCTGGGAGACCCTCAAATCCTGGGATACCCAAAATCCTGGGATACCCCCAAAATCCTGGGATACCCTCAAATCCTGGGATACCCAAAATCCTGGGATACCCTCAAATCCTGGGATACCTGAGTCCTGGGATACCTGAATCCTAGGATACCTGAATCCTGGGATACCTGAATCCTGGGATACCCTCAAATCCTGGGATACCCAAAATCCTGAATCCTGGGATACCCTCAAATCCTAGGATACCTGAATCCTGGGATACCTGAATCCTGGGATACCTGAATCCTGGGAGACCCAAATCCTGAGATACCCAAAATCCTGGGATACCTGAATCCTGGGATACCCTCAAATCCTGGGATACCCAAAATCCTGGGATACCCCCAAAATCCTGGGATACCCTCAAATCCTGGGATACCCCTGAATCCTGGGATACCTGAATCCCGGGATACCCCCAATCCTGGGATACTCAAAATCCCGGGATACCCCTGAATCCCGGGATACCCCCAAATCCTGAGATACCCTCAAATCCTGGGATACCCAAAATCCTGGGATACCCCAAAATCCTGGGATACCTGAGTCCTGGGATACCTGAATTCTGGGATACCCCCCAATCCTGGGATACCCTCAAATCCTGGGATACCCTCAAATCCTGGGATACCCCTGAATCCTGGGATACCTGAATTCTGGGATACCCTCAAATCCTGAGATACCCCAAATCCTGGGAATCCCCCAATCCTGGGATACCCCCAAATCCTGGGATACCCCAAATCCTGGGAATCCCCCAATCCTGGGGTACCCGAATCCTGGGAATCTCAAATCCTGGGATACCCCCAATCCCAGGATGCCCCCAAATCCCGGGATGCCCCCAAATCCCAGGATACCCCCAGTCCTGGGATACCCTCAGCCCCCCGAATCCCAGGATCTGCCTGGCCTCGAATCCAGGGATCCCCCCCGGCCCCAAATCCCGGGATCCTCCTGGCCCTGAATCCCAAGATCCTCCTGAATCCCGGGATCCCCCCAGTCCCAGGGATCCCCGAATCCTGGGATCCCCTGAATCCCAGGATACCTCCCCGGGCCCCCGAATCCTGGGATCCCCCAATCCCGGGATCCCCCTGGTCCCAAATCCCAGGATCCTGCTGGACCCCCGGAATCCCGGGATCCCCCAAATCCTGGAATCCCCCTGGCCCTGAATCCCAGGATCCCCCCGGATCCCCCTGGCCCCCCAAATCCTGGGATCCCTCCGAGTCCCGGGATCCACATCCTGGGATGAGTCCGACCCCCTGAATCCTGGGATCCTCTGCCAGTCCTGGGAATGCTGCAGAGCTTTGGCCCTGGGACCGATCCGGGGAAACCTCCTGGGATCCCTCTGGATCCTTGGGATCTGTCTCGGATCCCCCAGGGGTCTCTTGGATTCCTCAGGGATCCCTCGGGAATCCTCCGGGATCCTTCAGGAGCGACAATTCCCACCCTTGGGAACGCCGGGGGGGGTCTCCCCTCCCTCCATGTGTCCCTCCCTCCCCAGGGAATTCCAGGCTGGAATTCCGGGATTGGGAGCGGGAACAACGTCCTCCCTGGAATTGCTCCCAGTCCCGGAATTCCTGCCTGGAATTGCTCCCAATCCCAGAATTCCTCCCTGGAATTGCTCCCAATCCTGGAATTCCTCCCTGGAATTGCTCCCAATCCCAGAGTTGCTCCCTGGAATTGTTCCCAATCCCGGAATTGCTCCCAATCCCGGAATTCCACCCTCACCGAGGCGGCAGCTCCCAAACCGCTCATCCCACGGCTCGGGAAGAGGGTGTTGTTTTTTTTTTTGGGAATTTCCCGCCTGTTTCCGGGCTCGGCTCCCTCTCCGGGCTCGCCGCGGGAATTCCGAGCCCTTCCCGATCCCGGCGTTCCCGGTCCCCGCAGGATTTACGACCAGCGGAAAATCGACGAGAACGAGAACAACGGGGTCCTGAAAAAGTTCTGCCCTCACCACCTGGTGGGAACGCCGGGAACGCCGGGAATACCGGGAATACCGGGAATGCTGGGAGCACTGGGAATGCTGGGAATACTGGGAATACCGGGAATGCTGGGAATACCGGGAATGCTGGGAATACCGGGAATACCGGGAATGCTGGGAGTGCTGGGAGTGCTGGGAATGCTGGGAATACTGGGAATGCTGAGGGCACTGGGAATGCTGGGAATGCTGGGAATACTGGGAATACTGGGAGCACTGGGAATACTGGGAATACTCTGAGCACTGGGAATGCTGGGAGCGCTGGGAATGACGGGAGTACTGGGAATATTGGGAGCACTGGGAATATTGGGAATGCTGGGAATGCTGGGAGTCCTGGGAGTGGTGGGAGCGCTGGGAATACTGGGAATACTGGGAATGCTGGGAGCACTGGGAATACTGGGAGGGCTGGGAATGCCAGGATGGGCTGGGAATACTGAGAATACCAGGAATGCTGGGAATACTGGGAGCACTGGGAATGCTGGGAATACTGGGAATGCTGGGAATACTGGGAATGCTGAGGGCACTGGGAATGCTGGGAATGCTGAGGGCACTGGGAGTGCTGGGAATGCTGGGAATGCTGGGAATGCTGGGAATACTGGGAATGCTGAGGGCACTGGGAATGCTGGGAATACTGGGAATGCTGGGAATACTGGGAATGCTGGGGGCACTGGGAATGCTGGGAATGCTGGGATGGGCTGGGAGCACTGGGAATACTGGGAATGCTGGGAATACTGGGAGCACTGGGAATACTGGGAATACTCTGAGCACTGGGAATGCTGGGGGCACTGGGAATGACGGGAGTACTGGGAATATTGGGAATGCTGGGAGTCCTGGGAGTGGTGGGAGCGCTGGGAATACTGGGAATGCTGGGAGCACTGGGAATACTGGGAGTGCTGGAGATGCCGGGATGGGCTGGGAATACTGGGAATACCAGGAATGCTGGGAATACTGGGAGCACTGGGAATGCTGGGAATGCTGAGAATGTTGGGAATACTGGGAGCACTGGGAATGCTGAGGGCACTGGGAATGGTGGGAGCACTGGGAATGCTGGGAGCACTGGGAATACTGGGAGTGCTGGGAATGCTGGGAATACTCTGAGAACTGGGAATACTGGGAATGCTGGGGATGCTGGGAGCACTGGGAGCACTGGGAATACTGGGAATGCTGGGAGTGCTGGGAGCACTGGGAATGCCAGGAATACCAGGAATACTGGGAGCACTGGGAATAGTGGGAATGCTGGGAATACTGGGAATACTGGGGGCACTGGGAATGCTGGGAATACTGGGAGCACTGGGAATGCTGGAAATCTGGGGGGAAAAGGAGGAATTTGGGATGAAAAATGGGGATTTGGGGGGGAAAAAGGGGGAATTGGGGGAAAAATGGGAATTTGGGCGGAAAACAGAAGTTTGGGGGGGAAAAAGGAGGGATTTGGGACGAAAAACCGGGAAATTTGGGGGGGGGAATTTTGGGGAAAATCCGGGGGGGGAAAACGCAACTACTCCGGGAAACACCCCCAGCTCCCCGCCCAGGCGCCGGAATCCCGGGAATCCCGTCGGGAATTCCCATTTTTCCCTGTTTTCCCCCCCCAGGTGAACAGCGAGTCCAAAGCCAACATCACGTGCCTGGTGTACAGCCACGACGGCTCCGGTGAGCAAAACAGGGGGGGGATTCCCGGGATTCCCAGGGCTCCCTGGGTTTCCCGGGCTTCCCAGGGCCCTGAAGGCGTGGAATTCCCGGTTTTTTTCCCCCCCCTGGAATTGCAGAGCTGCTGGCGAGTTACAACGACGAGGACATTTACCTCTTCGACTCGGGGCACGGCGACGGCGCCCAGTACAGCAAACGCTACAAGGGGCACCGCAACAACGCCACGGGTGGGGCGCCCGGGGGGGCAGAGACACCCCAAAAACCGCGGGGATGTGTGGGGGAGGGGCCCCCGAAAGTTGGGTCCCCGGGGGGGGGGCGGGAAGTCCCGGAATTCCCAAAAATCTGAGCTCGCGGAGCCGCCGGTCACCTCCCGGCACAGCTCAGATTGATGTCACACCCTGGGATTTTGGGGGGGTTTTGGGGGGTAAAACCACCCCCAAAACCTCGGGGATATGTGGGGGAGGGGCCCCCGAAAGTTGGGTCCCCGTGGGGGGGGCGGGAAGTCCCGGAATTCCCAAAAATCTGAGCTCGCGGAGCCGCCGGTCACCTCCCGGCACAGCTCGGATTGATGTCACCCCCTGGGATTTTGGGGGGGTTTTGGGGGGTAAAACCACCCCCAAAACCTCGGGGATATGTGGGGGAGGGGCCCCCGAAAGTTGGGTCCCCGTGGGGGGGGCGGGAAGTCCCGGAATTCCCAAAAATCTGAGCTCCCGGAGCCACCGATCACTTCCCAGCACAGCTCAGATTGATGTCACCCCGTGGGGTTTGGGGGGGTTTTGGGGAGTAAAACCACCCCAGAGCCCCCCCAAAATCTCTGTGCTACATGGGAGGGGATCCCCCCAAATTTGTGTCCCCGTGGGGGGTCGGGAAGTCCCGGAATTCCCAAAAATCTGAGCTCCCAGAGCCTCCCGGTCACCTCCCAACCCGGCCCAGATTGATGTCACCCCGTGGGGTTTTGGGGAGACTTGGGGGGGTAAAACCACCCCAGAGCCCCCCCAAAATCTCTGTCCTATATGGGAGGGGATCCCCCCAAATTTGTGTCCCCGTGGGGGGTCGGGAAGTCCCGGAATTCCCAAAAATCTGAGCTCGTGGAATCACCGGTCACCTCTCAACCCGACCCAGATTGATGTCACCCCGTGGGGTTTTGGGGGGGCTTTGGGGAGTAAA